ATAAAGCTATATTCACTATGCAAAGCTAAAACAAATAAAAGCTAGAGAGGCTGAGACTGAAGGGAGGCACCTGTATCTCCTTAATCCTCCTGCACATACTGGAAGGGAAAAAAAACAGTGGTCTCATATGTCTCAGTTCAGCACTGCATCATGCAGACCATGTCAGTAACAGAACAGGGAAACTGCCAACAAGGAGATGAGATACAGCAGTGCTCTATGGCTTCAACAACAGTTAAGCAAAAGCACAGAGCAAGACGGAATCTTCTGGGAAGGAGTGAATGGGCTACAACATGCAACAAACAAGGACTACAGTTGTACCTGGGGATTACTCCCATATAGGCAGATTATATTCATTACTACTCATCCTTTGTATAAGATAAAGCCCTAATACAGTCGGCACATTACCCAAATGTCAGCATGGAAGCTGAATTCAGCGTGAGAAATGGATGCACCCAGTTACAGCTTATGAAGATCAGTTCTGCATTAGCTTTCAGCTATCACAGAATCCCAGATTGGTTTTGGTTGGAAGGGACCTTAAAGCTCCTCCAGCTCCAACCTCTGCCACGGGCAAGGACACCTTCCACTAGAGCAGGTTGCTCCAAGCCCCTGTGTCCAACCTGCCCTTGAACACTGCCAGGGATGGGGCAGCCACAGCTTCTCTGGGCACCCTGTGCAAGCGCCTCAGCACCCTCACAGGGAAGAGCTTCTGCCTCAGAGCTCATCTCAATCTACCCTCAGGCAGGTTGAAGCCATTGCCTTGTCCTGTCCCTACAGGCCCTTGTCCAAAGCCCCTCTCCAGGTTTCTTGTAGCCCCTTTAGGCACTGGAGCTGCTCTAAGGTCTTCCCGAAGCCTCTTCTCCAGCCTGAAGAACCCAAACTTTCCCAGCCTGTCTTCACAGGAGACATGCTCCAGCCCTCAGAGCATGTGTATGGAGAAGAACATAAGGCATCACAAAGGAGTATAAACTCAAAGCTTCCCTTCCCCAGCTTTTTAAAAATTTAAAAAAGTAGGACATACAACCACCAATGTCAGAATTATCCCAAGCCTGCCCCCACTTAACTCTGTTATCAGCTGTACATTATCAGACATTCTACAAAAGCAACTCCATTTTGCTAAGTCTTGCTTAAGAAGCATGAAGAAAGCATGAAGTATACCCACACTCTTTTTACAACACCCAGCTGATCACACCAAAATACTGGGACACTGAAACTACTGATTTGTGTTTCCCTGCTTCAGATTCCAACACTGCACTGCCACCACTGAAATGACTTTTTAAATGACAAGGACTGTGAACATGTCATTTGAGTACTCACTATGTGGCATGGTTTGATTTGTTAAAGGCTTGGATTTTAGCTGTCACTAGTTGTAAAGTATGTTTCAACAGAGCAATCCATACTCATAAGGAAGAAACTGCTCCACTGGAAGACAACTTGTATAAATGGATGCTCAGGTTTGTTTCTTCACTGAGTGCTTCTTGCCCCCCATTTGTGTCAGAACAGCAAGGGAGAGCATAAAGACAGGATCTTAAACTCTGAGTCCATTATGTGTTTTAGAAAAGTTAACTCGCAAGCCAACATTTCATTTCAGGATACACAGGGATTATGTGATTAGAATCCTACTGGCTGGCTGGGAGGATTCAGCAAGATAACTACAAATTACTCAGAGGGCTAGTGTCAAAAGGACCTCTGTACTTATTTAGCCCCTGCTCTAGATTACTGACCCACTTATGAAGAGCTAAGCACCCCTGCTGTGCAATGCCAACACCCACTCCATCTGTTTGCTTCTGCTTTCTCAGAACCGCTATTAGTCTGTGTAAGAAGTTGTGTTAATTACCACATGAGCAGCTTTTGCATGGTACACAGAACATCAGCATCACTTCATATGTAGTCACCTTGACAAACAGCACAGAAACAATAAAATGCTACTCTCTGCTGGATTATTAAGGACATACAATAAGTATATGCAGATTTCTGAAGGAATACTAACTTTTGTCCAAGCTGCTCTCAGTTTTGAGAAAAGCTTGTAGGTATTTAGCTGCTTTGTAGTTCAATGACAAAGGAGAACATTAGAGCTAAGCACTGTATTGCGCTCTCTGGAAATCTCCAAGGGGACTAGAAACCTGTGAAACCACAACTGAAACTTCTGTTGAGGCAACAGTGGCAAACAGAAGCATCCGACAACACTTGCCAGTATCTACACCGAGATAAACAGTATTAGTAAGTAAATCTAAAGCTAGTTTAAAAAAAGGAAACACAAAACCAAACAAAAAGCCCAGCTGTCACATCAGAACTGCATCTCGGTCAGCAGCTTAGCACCTCAAACTTCCTGACTTATCCCTGCTGATCTGCAGATCTTTAAGACATTAATTCAAGTGGGTCTCAAGCAGCAGTTTCATTAACTTACTAAATCCAAGAACAAGAATCTCCAGAAGTCATTACAGTACTGAGCTGACATTTGTTCTTTCTTGGGAACTCAGACTACTGCTGTCAAAGTGAAATAATATCAACAGTCCAAGAGCCAACTATGAAACTCAAGAATTCTGTAGAGTGCTGCTGGCAACCTTGATATCATCTCATCCCTTAATACCAAAGCCATTTCTTATTTTAAAATTAAACCTTGTATAATAGCCAACATTACTTGAAGAGCTACCCGCTAACTCCTAAGGTAGTCAAGAAATGTAAAACCAAGATCCAGTCCTTTTTACAGCTGACAAGAGGATAGAATCATAGAATCAACTCGGTTGGAAAAGACCCTGAATGTCACCAAGTCCAACCGTTGCCCAGCACTGCCAAGGCCACCACTGACCCATGGCACTGAGGCCTCGGTTACACAGCTTGTGAGCACTTGCAGGGACAGTGACTCCAGCATTGCCCTGGGCAGCCTGTTCCAATGCCTGAGCACTCTGTGGGCAAGGAATTGTTCCTCAGCTTCATCTAAACCTGCCCTGGTGCAGCTTGAGGCCGTTTCTTCTTCTTCCATCCCTTGTTCCTTGGGAGCAGAGACCAGCCCCCTCCTGGCTCCATCCTCCTGTCAGGCAGTTGCAGAAAGCGATAAGGTCCCCCCTGAGCCTTCTCTTCTCCACACTAAACCCCCCCAGGTCCCTCAGCAGTTCCTCATCACACTTGTGCTCCAGGCCCTGCTCCAGCTCCAGTGCCCTTCTCTGGAACCTTCCAGTAAGAAAACACCTCTCCTGCAATGACCAGCCAAGAACTGAACACAAACAGATGAGAACAGTACATCAAGGACTGCTGGTCACAGCAGTCCTAGGCAGAATGTAACAAAGGCTACATAGAGTGTAACAAAGTATTTGTATATTTAACTTTGTATTGTTTTAAAGATTTATATTTTCTACTTTGACATAACAGGTCATGGAAGCAGGAGGTCAAAGTAGACCAGGGAAACAAGGATATATTAGAATACTGTTTGTATCCTCTAACAATCTTCAAAATTAAGTTTAGACAACTATTTTTTCCTAAACTAGCAGTATTTACTGCCCCAGTAGCCCTGATAGAGAGCTCTTGGAATTCTTTTAAGAGCTTGAGCTCTAAAAGCTAGACACACAAAGTGAACCTCCATATGGCATATTCAGCTTCTGCTATAGGAAATACCTTCCAGTTAAGCATTTGGTCTTGGTCATAGTAAAGCCCTTCTAAATATATAGAGTCATCTCATGTTAAGTCAAATAGCATTCCTACAGGTTTCAATCTTCAGTCTACTGATACACACTAAGACAAGAATGCTCTAATGTTTTATTTCTGGTTGTTTTCCAGCTGGCAAAGGAATAAAGCAGAAGGAAAACTCAGAATTTGGGAACTGAAAAATTTGGGGAATAAAATACAAGCAGAGGGCAGCATTAGAAACAAAAGGTGAATAGAAAAGAGAAAAAACACAATTAAGGTAGTCATTCATTCACAGCATACTCCTGATTTCCCCAGAAAGCAGTGTCAAATCTAAAAGAGAATGCTAAAACCATTATCAGATAACAGCCATAACACATTTAATACATGGAAATCATTATCCACACCAGTCCAATCTAGTCTGTGCTATGATTAATACAAAGTCTAAAAGTAGCTGGATCAATGTGCTAATACAGAAATTAAGGTCATAAACCAGATGAAGGTTCACTCCCCTACAGATTAAGTGTCCAGGGGCAAAATGACCAGAATACACCTGTGCCACCAGATCTACTTTTGCAAAGAAAAGCAAGCACACCTGTGAAGTGACTTGCTACTTGTGTGTCATGTAATGAGCTTATACAGGCACCTTTGTGGGATTTCTGTACATGAATTGAGAGCAGACTTCATTATACTTACAAACGTAACCCTTGCCTCTCGCACAGCAGTTGCTATGAATTAAGTTGAGAAAGTTGAGAAAGTCATTCACCTATATGTATATATGTATCAGGAGTAGAAGAGCAGTTCTAGAAATATTCCAACTTATTAAATAAAAAGCAGTTTCATTAACCAGTAACATATTACAGTAAATAAACTGGTCTTCAGACAACCTGCCTCTAAAGATAAAATTCCCCTTCAAAAGGGAGAATGGATGCAGTTTGTACAATTTAAGTGAAACTACCAGATACAACTGAAATAATTAGATGACTGAAGTGTTGACCAAGGAAAAACAAGTTTGTTTGTTTTTTTTAAGTGGAAGTGTAGCTTCCAGTATGCCCCTTCAATTATAGACAGGGTTATTAAATAAAAGCATAAGGCAGTGCTACAAACAGAGCTGTGCTAGGCACCACCAGAGCACATACAAATTGGAATCTACTTAGTAATGAAAATTGAAGTATAAAGACGTTATTAGAAATTGTGACTTCACAAAGCACCAACTCAGTTGTAAGCAAGCACTATACAAAACCAAAACATGTTTTAAAGAATTTTTAAAGAATCAAAAGCATGGAATTGATTTTTTTAGCCATTTGTTCACAGGAAAGCCTAAACATACATTTAATCATCTCTGAAGCGACTGCAACAATTTCGAACACAACAGCACTTACCTTGGTATTGTCACACATTTTGTATTGCAGTTCTGGGTGGTAATGGCCTTCTCGAGCTCATCCAGCTGTCCTGTTTTCTTGAGCTTCTTGACCAAGCTTTTCACTGCTTTTTCACACCACTTTTCCTCCTGACCATTCTGTTCACCACCACCAGCCCCTCCAGAGCTACCAGCAGATTTTTTCCATCCCAGAAGTCTCTTCACAACTGGTGGAGTGAATGGCAATATGGATGACATGGCTGCCACCAGACAGGACACTCAGCAAGCAAGAGATTCCCGTCCGATCCCTAAAAACACAAACCAAAACAGACATTAGCACCGAGGTTTCATATGAAATAAATACCTTTCTTAGGACCTTTAATTACCAAATGCCACATGACACTGTACCCTAGAGCACAAGCCAGATAACAGTTCAGAAGTAGTCTGAATCATGGTTAGGTACTTCATCAAGAAAGTTCAAACAAGTTTGCTGCAGACTCTTCAGCAGTTAGGCCAGACTAAGGTTACTGTTGGATTAAACACTGAATTTCTCCTCAAGACTTCCCTGGTTAAAGTAAACTCCAGAAAATACAGAAGTTAACTAGAGTCTAGCTTTGCAAGTGGGCTGGGTGGTTTTAATCACTAAAATTTTCCACAAGTGATTGACAAATCGCATACACATATTCTGCCCATCTCCAAATTAACTTAGCAGGCAAAATTGTATTTGGAATGTCATTTCAGTTTGACAGAAGTCTTCCAGCAGCCAGCCATTTCACAAGCCTTTTCTCATTTTGTTTGTCATGTTTTCAATAACTACCAATTTTTGTTCCACAGGAGATAGTGATGTGAAATTCACTAAGGTCTGGTAATATGCTTATTCTCATCTTTGAATCTTGAGTTCAATGGCCTCCAGATAATGAATCTTATCAACTCGCAATACTTAAAATCATTAAGTCTTTCAAAATTCATTAAAGGATATTTAAAGCCTTAGTTTGCAGTTATCTAAGTAGCAGAACTGTCTGTTTTCAATTTTAATAGCCTTTCATTCAGTATCAATTACCTGATGAGGATGTTTATACAAAATGAAAGATTAGAAGGGATGCTGAAATTTGGGCTATGTTTAGCATTCACTTCAATTTGCACTTCAAATCAGTTTAAAGAGAAGTGATAGCTATTTAGAAAAAAAAAAATGTTTTGGTTTTGCAGCTTCTATTAGGCTAGTTTTAGGCATTAAAACATAAGCCCCAAATCAACCGTATCATTTCAGGCAGACAGCTGTTAAGAAGAGCTTGACAACACGATACTCCTATGGATAGGAATAAGGTTGTGGATGGTTTTGGTTTTTAATTTTTTTCACTTCAGTGCCATATTCCCAGGCCGCAAATGGGTATTTGAACTGCAGAAAGTTACCTTCTTTCCAAGCTATTTAAGCTAGCTCAGCCAGCTGAAAATACCTTGGTTTAGCTAAGGCTACCTTGAGGCTACTCAAGTTTAGCTTTCAAGGCAGCTTGCCTGCCTCCCCATGCTGTAGAGGCACATCCCTTGCTTCTACCCAAAATATACCAACTTCATCTTACTGAAATTTCTGATCTGCAAAACAGCACGGTTGATTTGGCTACTTCAGGCTACAGTAATCATGGCTAATTTATGCCTTGTCATGTCTCTGCAGTCTCAGAGAGGTCCAACAAGACAACAAACACTAGATTATATTCTACAGGTAACTTTAAATCGCAAATTTTCAACTTCCACAAAACAGAATGTTCAGTAGGAATGACATCTCAGTTTCAACTAAATGATACCTCTCCATAAACCAGCTTCTGAAAGCACCTAAAATCAGGACTGAAGCAAGAATGGTAGGTTTTGGAGGTCAAGGAGACAGAGGTTCCAATAAACAGGGACTGAACTGTTCTGAACATGTTCTGAACTGTGCAGGCCTAGGAGTGAAACACATTAGACCCTCACTACAGTACACTGAGTAGCTCAAGGGATAAAACAGGAGGCTTGCACTGCCTCTGCTGTTTTAAGGTGTCCGAGATGAGGAAGAGCAACAGTCACTCCGAGCTTCAAAAAAGAAAGACTTCAGCTTTTGAGCAAGGACAATAGATGCTTCAGAGGCATACACAAAAAAATTAAAAAAGACCAAACCAAAAAGGACAGCCTCTTTTGATTCAAAGATCATGTTTTAAACCTTAGCAGTTGATGATGTAATATCTAACATCAAATTCAATGCTAACAGATGTAGGCAACCACGTATCACCACCATTGCTTATCCACACCAATTCTTCTCCCATTTATGGAGCTCACTGACGCGTAATAAACCTATTTCCTGTTCTTCAGCTTCAAATTTGATATCTTTCAACGCCCCAGAATTCTCCTTTGATTGTCAGCCTTTTACAATACACACTTCAGCAGGGTCTCACTTACCACCAAGGTAGATTGCTTATTCTTACAGGCCCTCAATGCTTTTATCTAATTCTTCACAGCTTTACAATACTCCTTGTGATAAGGTGTCCAGTTTTGCAGTATTCTCTCCCTTAAGACATAACACTGATCTACATATCATTTTCTGTACTCTGGTGCTTTTTTCCTTATTTTTAACTATGATTTGCCTTTCTGTTTCACATACACGTTGAGTGATTTAAGTCTGGCAGGACTTAAACCCCACACATTTCAGTTTTCTTTACATTTGAACTCTCATACTATTTTGACAGAGGCAAAAAAAAAAAAAACAAAAACAAAAAAAACAAAAAACCAAACAACCTCTCTTCACATTTCCAAAAGATTATAAGCTCAGACCTAACTAATCAGAAATTTCCAGGTATATAATACTTAGTTTTGACCAGTTCCTTTACAGATATGTGCTCATCCAGTTTATGTATCTGTCAAATCACAGGTTAATCCCTTATCCCTGTGAAGACTAGCTTTTTCTAAAACACAAAACCAAAACAAAACATAAAGGGACACATTTAAAGAGCCCTTTATGACAATGATTATTGCAGTTTAGCAGCTATTTAAAAGAAGAAACACAACACACACCACAGCTGCAGATTAAGTCTGGGAGGCTTAAAGTACCCTCTTCCTTCTAGCTATTGTTTTGCCACATCAGGGATTAGCCAGAAGTATCAATAAGAATTTCACCAAGTTATTTCAGTACTGGCCCCCTATCTACTAAAGAATGAGCAGAGATTGTGACACAAGTAGGACAGGAATTCATTCAGCTTAGTACTTCAGCCAATTGTGGTGAGTACTCATAGGAGAGTATTTCAGCCGGCTTGATTTATGGAGGAACTGCACTCTGCTCCAAGCCTGGAGGAGGCATCTGCAAAGAGCAAGGCATGGTTAGGCTGAATTATGAGCCATTTGGATACATGCAAATTATGCAAGGAAAAAGCCCTGAAATACCCTGCTAGGTAAGAAAAGTGTTGCATATAGCCTGGTGCTCCATCTCCTTAGGTGGCAAAAGGATGCTACTCAAGGACGTCACAAACCTGCCTGATTTTTGTGGCCCATTCTCACCACAATTATTCAGCATCTTAAACTGTTACAGCATGAAATTAAAGGCCACATTCCTACCTGTTCCCTTCAGCAGCCATTCATGGACCTGTTCTCCACAAATTCATCTAACCACTTTCTGAACCTGCCTCCACAACCTCTTGTGGCAGACAGCACCACAATTTAACAGCCCACTGTTGTGAAGAAGTACTTCTAGCTATTTTATTCTCTTCCTGGTTTCAGAAAGTGCCTCTTGTTCTACCACTGCAAGCTTTGCTGAAGAACTGTTTGTATTCACCTTGTCTGCAAGCTTCGTGATTCTGTACATTTGAATCATGTCTCTCCCCCAAACAGAGGGCTAACAGCCTTTTGTCACAAAGTATCTGAACATAGCTCATACAGTTTGCAAAGCTCTTCTGGGCAGATGCCAAGCCTGAAAGCTTTACTACTTTAATTAAATTACAAGTACTCTAAGATATTGCATAAGGACTGTTCTAAAGACCACAGGAAAACTGTATCAGCCTACAGTTATCTTTTCATTTACCTTTTTGGTCATATTACCCTAACATTCTCAACATTGTAATTAAAATAGACAGAAATCTACACCTCATGAGGTATTTGGAGATAGAAGGCAGACACCACATGTCTGAACATCTGGCAGGAGCTCAAATAAAAATGAGGAGCCCTACACCTGCACTGGATCCTGACTATCCTCCTAAACAGACTCAGATACCATGTTTTACACTAGTTGGTTTAGGAGTCACTGCTGCAGCTCATTTTTGACCAGCAAACCCCAATTTCCACTATAACACACCAACACACTGGGACTCTGAGTAATCACAGGGAGGTTTTTAAGACCCCTCTTCTGAGCTCAACTATAGTTGAGCTATTAGTATCAAGGCAGCAGTGCAGTACATAGCAGAGAACTTTGACTATTTTTTATCCCTTTCTTCATTCTCTGGATTGTGCCTTAAAACTACAGCTCTGAATGCTCAAGGAGAACTCACTCTGCTGCTTGGAGAGGTATGACTGCTTCTTTAGACAGATGGAGCACAGGGAGCACGTGCTGTTACTCTCAACAGATTAATACTGGAAGATTTAGAAATTGCCTAACTTTGGTGGCATTTGCTTCATCTCTGTCCCTGTAGTATCTCTCTGCTTCCTGAAGCACACATGTTTCTATAGTTGGTCAAACACTGTCATAGTTGGCAACTTCCAAAGTCACAGTTTGAGTCATGTCTGCTATTATTCCATTCTACTGTGGTTCTCTGGAACAAGTATTAAATATTAAGCCCATGATCCTAGCAATAACTAAGCATAAAAGACAAAGAAAACCTTAAGGGCAGCATGCTAGCAGAGTAAAACCTTCAAGGGAAGTTTTCCTTTCCCAAGTGTCTGGAACACACTATAAACACACTGGTGCTACCAAAAATATCAAGTGATTTCTGGCTAATGTATTCTAAAGCCTTATGCAGCATATTTCATATCAGTCTGACTATTCATCTTAAACTTGAAATAAAGAAATCCGATCTCTCCTGGTTTTACTAGAAGTATTCTGGCTTAGAGGAATTTCATTTGCGAGAGCTATTCTGGAATAAAGAGGACAAAAGTTAAGCTTTGAGGAAAGAAGATCGAGGAAAATAATTTGTGGTATTTGAGAGAGTCTACAAGCTCATTTCCTCCCTATTTTAGTCCCATTTTCATGATTTTTTTTAAGGCAATGTTTTTTTCATTAATCCTGGAATTCTGACAAGATTCTTTACCAATTTCACCAAGTACACAGTGTTTCAGGATCTGTTAGAAGATTTGGGAATA